TTATTCTACATATTATGATTTTATTATATATATTAATTATATATAAAATACTATATTTTTAGTATTATATATATATATTTTATATTTCATGCAATTATATATTATAATTTTGTTATAATATATATGTTATTCTACATATTATAATTTTATTATATAATATATAATAATTATATACAAAATACTATATTTTCAGTACATTTTATAATAGTATATATAATACTATATTTTTAGTATATATATATATATATATATTTGTATTTCATATAATTATATATTATAGTTTTGTTATAATATATATATTATTCTACATATTATAATTTTATTAGAATATATATTGTATTAAATTATTGATTTATATATAAAAAATAATATATATTGTATTAAATTATTAATTACATTTCGATAATAGAATTTTGACATTAACTTGTCACGTAGTAAGTAGCAATCTTGTAACTGAGTACTATGTATCGCTCTGCAATTTTCACAGAGAAATGGAAACGGACGACGAGAAAGTAGAGAGTCGATCTGTGAAGCGAAAGAGGCTTCTTCTGGGAAGAAGACCGTAAGACACGACAGAGAGCTGGAATTCTTCGTTCTATAATATCGTCGAAATTACGTGGAGGATGGGGAATGAGGAGGGGGACTTGTTATCGTTCAGCAGCCACGGGATTGTTCCTGGTTCAGAGCTGGTGGTGTTCGGAGTTATCTGGTTTTTAACAAGCAGACGAGGGAGACGAAAGCAAAAAAAAAAAAAAAAAAAAAAAAAAAAATCCCCTGTAAAGTGGTAGGAAAGCAAAGACCGAGGTCATGGTAGGGAAAGAAAGGGCGGGGAAGAAAGGAGAAGGAAAGGGAAAAAAGAAGAAGAAGAAGAAGAGGGAGAAGGAGGAACCGAGGCCTGACTCAGCCTAGTTGTACCCTTATACACACCTATCGAAACTTGTAACGTTACACTCGAGCCGTGTAATCTTAGACTATTGTGCGTCGGGTTCTTTACATTCCAGACCACACTTGACTTAACGTGGACGAGACGGCGCAGGAATTTTGTGAAGCAACCATAACTGGCGTCGAGACGCGATCGCTCTCTCTCTCTTTCTCTCTGGCGTTTCTCCTGATGAATTTGTCGTCCCTCGGTAAATTAACGAAACACGCATACTATATTGAAATACTGATACTAGAAGCCTGAAGATCAGCATTGAAATGTTGGAATGATTATAGAATCCGACGTATTGCGACAACTATGGATGTTTATACATTTTTAAGAAACTCAAGAATGCCAAAATCAACAGATTGCACACAATCCTGCGAGGCCATACGAAATATATATATTTATTTAATACTAATATTTATCCAGTATTTGTTTATAATTAATTATAAGTAAATAATTTATATTTAAATTATTATTTAAATAATATTTATCTCAGTATTTATCTTTAATATTTATTTTATATTATTTATTTAATATTTATTCATTTTATATTATATATATATATTTAATATTTATTTGTTTTCTTTTAATACTTATTCAGAGCACCCATTGTAATATTTATTAAACGAAATAAATTTTTATTTAGATTTCGTTTCTTTTTTAGGTTAGGTTCATAAACAGGATGGTTCATTTAAGTGGGGCCATCTAAATGTATTTTCGAATTGTGACGATGCAAGTATAACAATTTAAGGTTAGGTCAAGTATACAAGTATAACAAATAAAAAAAAAATATATATATATATATATAATAAATGTATAATAAGTATTATATATATTATTATATATGACAAATACTAACAATAAGTAATATTGTATATTATATAATATATAATAAAAATACGATAAACGAAATGATATGAAAATACACTAACATCCACAGTCTGACACAGTAACCAATGACGAAATTAAAAAAAATTTTTTCAGTAACGAAAGAGTAATGAAAAGAAAACTGTCAAATGTCAAACGGCGCGAATTTCAAAAGTATCATACCACACCAGGTGACATTCATACAATTCGTGTATATACTAATATTTAATACGTACATGCAAATAAATACGATCGATTCTAACAAAGAGAAGCTGGAACGATAGATCTCCTGCGAAATTTTTTTTTTTTTTTTTACACTCCTGTCGCGTTTTTTTCTCTTTCGTTCTTCTTTCTCTCTCTCTCTCTTTTTTTTTCTTTTTTTACTCGATTCTCTAACGCCGATTAACGCGAACGATTGGAAAACTGTTAACTCGACACAATCGCGGAAGGTTAAACGAACAGAGGAAAAACGAGCCGGGCGGCACGAAATAGGAAATTCGAAAAGTATAGAAGCCGTCGGAGCGGTTGTTCGATAACTATTGTGCCTCGTAATTTCCTGTTGGAACGTGAACAGCCCGTGGTGGCTGGTACCGCGTCCCTTTTAAACAGCGATCCATCGTTTACCGCCTTTTACATCGTTACACAACGCTAAATTATTCATGCGGAATACCACGCGTTTCCCGCGTCCAATAGTTTTCGCACGCCCACCGAAATTCCTCCGGCCAACGTTTCAATTACTTTCGCGTTTAACATGCGGGATCAAGCGGGATTTCTGTGCCTCCTCCAGTGAGGATTTCATGAAACCGTGTTTATTATTAAACGAAACATACGACATTATATTTTGCGTACGTAGGAATTTTCCTGCATTTGTAAAAATGAAAATTCCTTCATTTTACACTAATTTCTGATTAGTTTTATTTTATAATTTTACAATTTTATAATTATTTTATAATTTTACAATTATTTTATAATTTTATAATTTTACAATTATTTTATAATTTTATAATTTTACAATTATTTTATAATTTTATAATTTTACATTTTATAATTTTACAATTATTTTATAATTTTATAATTTTATAATTTTATATTTTATATTTTTATAATTATTAATTTTATAATTTTATAATTTTATAATGTTGTAATTATTTTATAATTTTATATTTTTATAATTATTTTATAATTTTATAATTTTATATTTTTATAATTATTTTATAATTTTATAATTTTATATTTTTATAATTATTTTATAATTTTATATTTTTATAATTATTTTATAATTTTATATTTTTATAATTATTTTATAATTTTATACTTTTATAATTATTTTATAATTTTATATTTTTATAATTATTTTATAATTTTATAATTTTATATTTTTATAATTATTTTATAACTTTATAATTTTATAATTTTATTTTATGTTAAATTCCAATGAGTTTCCCACTTATTTTCCTACTAATTTTATACAAAATCGCAATGAAAATAGATATTTAAATCGACCACCTTGCACCCGAGATTCACATTACATTCGAAACTGTTTCAAAACTTTGTCCGCTATCGTAATTATATATTCGCGTGACAAACATAAATAAAAAGCGTTTCTGAAACGTTTCTTTTATCATTAATCTAATCTCTAGCCGCTGAACGAAAAGCGTTCAGTTTAATAAATTCAAGTCCCTCGTACGTTCCCAAATGTGGCACAAATTCAATCACCATTTTAATTCTCCCGATTCAGCCGTCTCTGCATTTGCAAATAATAAGCGTTACTTTCCAACATCAGTTGGCGCAACAACGAAGAAAACGAACGCAATCGCGTGTCCCGGCGAGCGCATCGATGGGGCTCGTTGAAGAGGAACGCAGAATTCGAAACTAAGGGGAAGAGAGAGAGAGAGAGAGATAGCGAGGCTCTAACATCCATCGCTAATTCCGCGTTGAATTATTCACCGAGACGTTGAGGCATTCGAGGCAGAAACGAGCGCGAAGAGATGCACAAGCGTGATGTTATCTCTTCTCTATCGCAGAAGAGACGCAGTCGAACGTGGCGAACGATCGAAAAGAGGAAAGATCTCCTCAAGACTTTTCTAATCGAAGAAAAAAAGAAAAAAATAAAAAAAAAAAAAAAAAAAGAAGAGACCACGTACCTGATATTTTCTGATGGAGTGCAGTTGCTGTTGCGTGGGCTCGGCGTTCGCGTTATCGGTGCTCTCCACATTATTGTTCTGCGTGGACAAACGTAGATTATCTTTCGGGGGTCTGGCGGGTGCCCTCTTTTGATCTCTCGGGGGGATGGCTGGTTTCACCCCGTTCAGACCGGTCTAGAAATCCGTTTCAAAGAAAACACAGCTCGCATTAAAGCATCCTGAAACCGCTATCACGTCACGCTACCCAAAACTTGTCCTCCACCCCTGTGTCTTTTTTTTCTCTGGGTGGGAGGGAGGGGGGAGGTTTCTCTTTCCTCCTCCGTGTTCTTCTCGACTTCATTACTACCTGTACTTACTTTCCCCCTGTTTTTATACACGCTCGTCACATTATTCCCATGTGTGCGCTCCCCTCTCTGCTTTTATTCACGGCTTCGGCTTTTTTTTTTGGGAACGTTTGCCTTTCGATTACGTTACGTGAAGCGAGAAGCGACGATCGTGAAAGAGAGATAGGGTAAACAGTGAACGAAGAGAACGAAGCGGGAAGAAGAAGAGTCAAGGCACGTGCGTCAAGGATCTGCTACGGCTAGCTTTTATAGGTGTTCACAATGGGTTTGTCTACTTTAACATGCTTGTCAACTGTGAGCGTGCGTTCAGCGTGCATTGCAATTTGCAATCGTTCCCTTCGTATCGCGAATGCGGCCGATGGCTCTTGCCATTTTCATTCGGACGTTACACTGAAACGATGCTTCTGGACACTGACTCTGAACTCTGTTTCAACTTGAAATTCTCATGAATGTAAATACTAAATGATCACGTAAATTAACACTCGATTAACTAGGGTTGCTTCCCCTTTAAGGATTATTAGATGTTAAACTTCATATGACAATCATCAATAATCGTAAATATCAGTTTTCAGGGCTATTGGACGTTAAATTTTTATTACAAAATTATAATCAATTGTAGTTCATTATGAAATATTAAATTCCTTATAATGATAATTTATTATAAAATTATACATTCTTCATTGACTCTGTACTCTGTGCAACTTGAAATTTTCATGAATGTAAATACTAAATGGTCACGTGAAAGTAAATTAACTCAATTAACTAGGGTTGCTTTCCCTTTAAGAATTATTAGATGTTAAACTTCATATAACAATCATCAATAATCGTAAATATCAGTTTTCAGGGCTATTGGATGTTAAATTTTTATAATACTAACTTATTACAAAATTATAATCAATTGTAGTTCATTATGAAATATTAAATTCCTTATAATGATAATTTATTATAAAATTATATGTTGCTATATATTCTTCACAATGATAATTTATTATAAAATTATGTATTATATATTCTTAATAATGATAATTTATTATAAAATTGTATGCAACAAGGAGCAAAATTTTCATTCAATAATCAATCAGAAATACGAAAGCCAGAGCAGAGAAACTAAAAACCATATATGTGTATACTGAATTAATGATGAAGGTTTAACTTACTTGGCAAATTGCACGCATTCCGCAGAGAGTACACTAATCACATTTTCCGCTGATTTGGATCCAAGAAATTGGAAAGCAGCGAAGTAAGTGATCAGAGACGTTAAAAGCATCAGAGTCTATAAATTAATACTACGCATACGTTATTTCTGACTGGACAGACGATCTAGATGATGGGAAATCACCAGTTCCAGGAAATGTAATTACAAGATGGAATAGTTGTTAGTCTAGAAAGCAGTTAGTCACATTATATTAACTATTAGGAAGTACAGTGTATACGTATATACGTGGTATTATTTCACGTAATAAAGTGAGGTGAGCTTTTTCACTCGATATCGAGCATCTCAGATTTCTCGTACTCGAACCACTCGAAAGAGATTTCACGAGATTTTTAAAATTCCAAGATCTAAGAAATAATCTCTCTCTCGCAAAGGTAGTTTGTCTGATGGGATTTTAAGTGCGCTGACTCAGCGATTTAAATCTGCTTCTACAATAATAAACGTTAAATATACGAGGGCATTTTCAACGGATGATCTTTCAACAAATTATTGTCAAATAAATTAAAGAGACCACGTCATTAAAGGAATAGCTTTCCCTTTAACCATTTCATTACGAACACCGGGTATATATAGCGCCATATATTAAAAACACATAATACACTCAAGACAAGCTTTTTCTACTTATTCGATGGCGGAAATTTATTTGTACGATGATAAATTATTTTAATAAAAAATCTTTCTTGATCTATTGCAACCCGGAAAGGACCGACTATAGGTATAAAATCTGTGAATCTTTTAAAAATTTGGGGTTAGATTTTCGTCTAAAAAATTAAAGCTTGTTTCAAAGAAAAAAAAACATTCTAATAAAAAATCTTTCTTGATCTATTGCAATTCGGAAAAAACCAGCTCTATATATATATATATATATATATATATATATATATATATATATATATAAAACTTTGTGAATCTCTTAAAAATTTGGGATTAGATTTTCGCCTAAAAAATTAAAGCTTGTTTCAAAGAAAAAAAAAAAGAACATTCTAATAAAAAATCTTTCTTAATCTATTACAATTCGGAAAAAACCGACTATATTTTATATATATATGTGAATCTTAAAAATTTGAGGTTAGATTTTCGTCTTAGATATTAAAACTTGTTTCAAAGAAAAAAAAAAAGAACATTCTAATAAAAAATCTTTCTTAATCTATTACAGTTCGGAAAAAACCGACTATATTTTATATATATATATATATAAAACTTTGTGAATCTTAAAAATTTGAGGTTAGATTTTCGTCTAAAAAATTAAAACTTGTTTCAAAGAAAAAAAAAAAACATTCTAATAAAAAATCTTTCTTAATCTATTGCAATTCGAAAAAGACCGGCTGTATATATATATATATAAAACTCTGTGAATTTCTCAAAAATTTGAGGTTAGATTTTCGACCGAAAAATTAAAGCTCGTTAAAAAAAAAAAACCCATTCTGGGTCACATTCTGTCGAATTGTTACTATGTAAAATATTCAAAAAAGATTCTAATCAGACACAGAATGTAAAATAATTGGATCAACGTGTGCACATTTGGCGCGAGTTGAATGGCGGCGCCGCCGGTGGAGCAAGCAGACTATCGTAACGATAGGGCGTTAAACCGAATCAAAAAAAAAAAAAAAAGTACGAGAACTCGGAGATTGCGATGAAAATGGATACGCACCTGCAAGTCGATGGATGGCATCGGACACTCGGCTCTCGAGGCAGCAACTTCCTGTTTAAAATCGGAAGAGGAGCTGGACAACAGAAGTCGAGGGGCGGATCCTCGTCGAAGCTCCCGGCCGTTGTTAGAGGAAGATAGGAACGCGTTAGAGCAATTATTGCAGATATCGAAATCGAACTTGTCCGAGTTGCTGTCGGCGACCTCGGAGCGGACAAGGGTATCCAAACACCTCATACAGATTTTAGCGCTAGTGTCGAAGTGATTAGCAGCGGTGCTGGCAGCGGGAGAAGCGTGAAGCGGAGACGTGGCTTGGCGGGGCTGGTGGTGCATGATAGAGAAGAGGCTATCGATAAATAGACTCTTGACTTTGGACCTTACCTTCCTCTCGTGCTTTCGGTCTAGCGTACGAGGCGACCTACTAGCAATTACTACGTTCTCCGTAGCATCGGCGATACTCTCGTCGCCGCTGGCCGGCAGCGTGGCGAAACTACTAACAACAATCATGTCGTTCGATCGTGCGTGGCAAGGAGAGGAGGAGGCGACGATGCTCGTCGTGGCGCACACGTCGTCCCCGGGGACCGTCGAACCAACCGAGCTGCTATCCCTGCCGAGAGTCCCGTTACGCTCGCGCCTCGACTCGAGAGTGTTGTGCTTGCTGCTTGCGGGCGTTTTGTTCGGCGGAGGATAGACAGGGTGGCACTTGGTCACGGGGACGAAATCGGGCGGGCAGTCGACGGCCATCTCGCGGTAGGTTTTACCGCCGAGGACCAGAAAGCTACGGTCAACGAGCTCGAGATCGGTCGACGCCTCGCTCCTCAGGGTCGAGTAGCCGCTGGAGATCTGCTGGTGCCTCTTCTTCTTGGGTCGTTGCCTCGAGGACGAGGAGAGGCTGCTGCCGGACTCGATGCCCACGAGATCGTCGCTGGACCCCATTCTTATCAGCTCCTCGACGTCCAGGCTCCTCGTTTTCCCTTTTTGCTTCGCCTGTCTGTCCTCGCCTGTCTGACGCCGCGGCGCTTTCGACGACAGCGACTTGGACGACTTGCCGGACGGAGATTTGCTCGACTCGGACTTCAGCAACTCGTTGCCACGTTGTTGATGCTGCTGATCCTTGCCACGAGCGACGAACGACGACACTGTCGTGTCTTGATCGCGTGGGATCCTCGGCATCGTACACTGTTCGTCGATGAGCCTGGTCAGATCGGAGACTTCGTCGGACCTCATGAGAAGACCCTGCAGATCCTGTAGGTCGGCCAGCCCGTATGCGGGATTGTCGAAAGACGTGGTGTCTCTTGTCCTGCCGAACAGAGGCGCCACTTTGATCTCCGGGACCACCGATCGACACGGTGAACCGAGATCTATCCTCTTGGCGTCGTACGTCGGGGAGTCTTTGCCGCGACTTTTCCCGTGTCTCAGCACCAAGCTGCTGTCCAAGGGAGCGGTGCTGTCCGACCTCCCCGAGGAGCTCCTCGGGCTGGCCGAGTCGTCGCTGCAAGTCTTCAACATGGTCGGATAGTCCTCCTTCGCGAACGGGTAATCCTCCTCGATGTCCACGCAGGACTCCTTCTGCCTCGTCATGTCTTCGTTCACACCTTCCTCCTCCTCTTCCTCTTCTTCCTCCTCTTCCTCCTCCTCCTCCTCCTCCTCCTCAAAGTCCCTCAACGGATTCTTCAGATCCGGCGATCCAAACGCGGACGGGCTCCTCCTGTTCAATACTTCCTCTCTGTTGTTCACTCGGTCGCACTCGTCCTCGCCCTCGAGGTTGCTGTCCTTCGGCTCGATCTTCAGCTCGATCTTCAGCATCGGCGGCTGACCGTTCGTTCGTGCGCACTGCCTGCCGACGGACGACGTCACCACGTCCGTCGTGGCGTCGACTCGGGCGCGCTCGTCGGCCAGGTTAACCGCGCACGACGATTTAAGGGTGTCGTTTTTAAGGTTCAGGGAGAGGTCGAGATCGCTAGCGCTACGGGGACGACCACCACGTATCTCGTGCCGATAGTCGGACGAGTGGTGGTTGTTCTTTACCTTGTTGGGGTAAGCCTTCTGGAGAAGGGTGTCGGGCACGTCGACTGGTAGCTCCCGGTGAGGCCCTAGCCCGCCAGGGGCCCACATCTCATCGGGACCCAGCCCCTCCTGCGGCTTCTTCGCGTCCCGCGAGCTGCTGTTGTTGTTCTCCTGCAGCTGCTGCTGCTGCTGCTGCTGTTGCTGCGAGTGTATGTCCGTCACGCCACTGCCGCTACGCCTTCGGGACCTGTCGACAACAAAATGGTCACCTTCTTAACGATTTTCGATGCACCCTCCTTCTTGTTCTTTCTCTCTCTCTCTCTCTCTCTCTCTCTCTTTTTTTATGCACCACACGGCGGAGACTCTTGTGTCGTGAATAGAGCGACATTCAGCGAACCCACTCGTGCCAGTTTCGTGGAACAAAGTGGCAGCTAGAGATGGGATCGAGTGCCTCGAGAGCAGGTTTCGAACCTTTCGAGACGGTGTTCTCTATAAGCGTCGGGTCAGTGATTTTTCTTATATCGGGTTATTTTCCTTGTAAATGGTGATTTTCAAATGATTTTCGCGGCTGACTCGTTGCATTTACACGTACAGGGTGTCCCGTGTAAAGCTAACCACGTAATTTTCTCTTCAACTGTGTATAAGTAAAAAAATATTTCAAAAAATATGTCAAATATTTCGTTACGTAGAAAAGTACGTTTCAAATGAAACTCGTGTGTTGGCTACAACAAATCTTGCCCAGTTGATTATACTGCTGAGATTTCTAGGGTGAATTCATCATTGACATCAGCTACAAAAATTGTGAGCTCTTAAATAATAAAATAAATAATAAATAAAAAAATAAATAAAATAAATATTATTAAATAATAAATAAAAAAACAAATAGTTTCATTAAAGAGAAAAAAAAAAACAGAAGTTATTTTGAAATCTCTAGACAAGATTCGTCGTCACCATAAGATGTCTCCCTCGAAACAACGTAAGTTTTATTCGAAACTCTCTATAGTTTAAGAGAAAATTGCCAATTGTAGTTAGGCATAAATTCCATGTATGGAATATTAATGGAATATTGTCTCTTTATTGACAAACTTTAATATATAAGCCTAAGTTATCTAGAAATTTTCTTTACCGTTCTTGTGACGTTTGAATGTCGCGCGAAATCGAGTCCAGCGCGCATGCGCACGACGCTTACAAGAAACCCCATCTTCATACAATGGACAGCAATACTTTTAATATACATGAACTGCAAGCGTACTTGCTGAAACAGTTCTCGAGTGGTATTCAGAAACAGTGAATACGAATACTTATTCAGATGTCGAACTTGTACTCGTAACAAGTACGTATTGGACTTGATCCCATTCCTAGGCGCAGCCTGGAAACCCGAAAGTGGTTGACACCGATTCTCAACCGATGGCAATCTTCAATATACTAATTTTAGAAACTGCGTTGTTTTTAAATTCCTTGACCGCTTAATTTTCTGAAATAGCTTTTCGCATTATCTTGTTCCATAGGATAACGACATGTGTCATCGTAATATATACATGGTGGTCCAAGTGAGGCGATCTAAATGTCTAGGTGAAAGATATTTAGGTTAGGTTTACACCACAAATGGACTACCCTGTATAATGTGTGAAAATAACATAAAGGCTGTTTCCAATCTGATGGCGTAATCGGAGTAAGTGAAAAAAATAAATAAAAAATAAAGAATGAAATTGTTTATTTGAAAATCTATCAAATGTACAGTTAATCAGTTAATTCTACGTGCATGTCGAAAATCGAGTTTATTCTCTTGAAAATGAAGCTTTAAATGAAAAAAATGTCATTCCACGTTTCTTCTACTTATTTTCGCACGTAGAATAATTTCCTGTTTAACTATTGATTTCGTGTACAGCCCAAAAAGAGCTTCGATTCAAGTGCACTTGATAAATCGAACCCTCTTGAAAACGCAGCTTTGAGCTGTGAAAAAAATTTTTATTCTTTCAGACTTGTTTTCTCTTTTATCTAGAATCAAACTACCTTTCTGGCTGTACCATCAGATCGGAAATTTCCTTCTAATAAATATTAAATATCGAATTCTAGAAAATTATCAATTTAATGACGCAGTTTTTATTTTTCCCTTCAACCACTGAAACGTTCCAAGCTGCGTCAGCTCGTAAAAATGCTGGAAGAAAGGTATAATAAAAAAAAAAGAAAAGTAGTAATTTGCCTCGAACGTAATACAAGACGAAAATGAGTTGCATATCGATAAAAGAAAAAAAAAAAAAAAAAAAAAAAAGGAAAAAATGTAGTAAACCATTTATACCTGGGTATGTTTAGCAAGGGCGAAAAGTTCTACTGGGGGGGAACAACGGTCTACCGAAGGTACCAAACGTGGCAGGCATAGGTGTACACAGACACAAATTACTGGAAAAGCGGTGCCTTGATGAACCTTTGTGGGAAACGCCTCGACGGAATGGAGACGGGGAGATTATACATAAACTACGGAAGAAAGGAATTAACCGAGAGAGAAGATAACGAGTTACCTGAACGCGTTTCACACACGCAATCGAGGTCAACTGAAAATTACAACCACTTACCAGCGTGTAATGACCATTTAAATCTGAGATCCACACCTTCTCAATGTCCGGCTCGCATACACTTCGATGACGGAGGGAACTGTTTAGAAACTCTGTTCCTAGCCCCCTTCGTTCGATCTAATTTTAATACGCGTCTTTATCGATTAATTTCTTTATTTCCTTTGACCTTTCATGACGTGGTCACTAAATTTATCGAACGCGTGAAAGTCTAACTGTGAGATAAAATATACACTCTGGGAAACAATTTTTTTGGTGCCTTTATATGGCGATGTACAATAATACGCCCAAATATACATCGAGAACGTTCCATTAGAGGAGTTGCATTCGTACCTTTGGAGAAAAAAAAAAAAGAAAAGTGAACGCAACGTCGTTATAAAAAGATGAAAACTTGCGGCTGGCATTAGCGCGTGTCGAGCCCCGCGAAAAAAGAATCTCCGTGAAAGTGGAAATTTACGCGACAGTGGACATTTCTTAGGGGTAAGGGGAAATCCAACTTCACCCCTTGCGCCGCGGAACGCAACGTGGACACTATGATAATTACAAAGTGTCACCGGATAAAAAAGTCCATCGTCATGTACCTCTGGAGTTCCTCTTTAGGCGAACCTATGGACTTATTGACATTTCACGCTTCACCTTGGAAACGCGTTGTGGAACGCTCTTTTATCTGATTCGGAACAAGAGTTACACACGCCGGACGTTTCTGTATACAGAAAGTCAGCGAAAGGACAGAGGAGTTTCTGCTCCGCGCGAATCTTGATTCCCCGTTTCGTCGACAGTTCTCCACCGTTACAAGTTTTTATCAAGATTCGGGAACTGGGCGCCACTGCCTGGTTCTCGCCCGGCACGTGATGCACTAGAGTAACGAGATAATTCCCGCGGACGACGTTGGCGAGAATTTAGAATCCCGGCGGATCTCACATCCGGGATAAAAACCGGAGCCAGTGATGTACAGTCGTGACCTGTCGGCAACGTGTTGTATGAAAATATGAAATTTCTGACCGATCAAGCTTTAAATAACAAGTTTGAACAAATAATAAATCAAGCTTCAATGATAATAAATGAGACACTTACTGCAAATACAGATTTAGCGAGGAACACTTTGTCGACTTCGCGTGCAGTTTAAGCAGTGATTCTCAACCGGATGTGGTTGGTTCTTTGATGTGCCGCCGAAAAGGCAAGTATTATTTCAGTAATACTTTTCAGTACGTTTTATTTTATGATTTACTACCAGGTATTTGAAACATGAAAGTTTATTAGTTTCCTCGTAATATCGTGTAGGTTTCCCATTTACTGAACTGTAGAATTCGAAAGTGAGGTTAGAAAATTCAGAAGAATGTTCTCCCACCGGTCTAGCCATTCATGCCTCGGCTATTACCGGTCGAATGAGAGCGGAGTGAATAACGCGTTAGAAATTTCCCAGCCGAATACATCGAGGTGCCCGGTCATTCGATCGGCTTCTTGATTGTCTGCCCGTTGCAATTACAATCGTCGCGCTTTCGACGCCATTTTCTTTTATTCGACGAACAACGAGCTCACGGGCCCGAGCAGCCAGTTTTAATCCATTTAATAATCAAGACGCGAGGCTCGAAACTTCAAATTCCATTTAAAATCTCGTGACACGCGACGTTTCACATTTTAATTTCATACGTCGAGGTTATAAACGCCTGAATCTTTATTTTAAGTTTCATGAAATTTATAAACGTCGAGAATATCTCGGCGGACGAAATAATTCAGTGAGAAAAGAAAGAAAAAAAAAAAGAAAAATATCGAACAAATTCTCGAAACTTCCTCCGTGTAAGGCATGATATTTAAAAAAACTGGAATACGGTAATGTAAATTGGTAAATAAAATGTTGCAATGCGACTGACTTTTTAACCACTTGCGCTGGCCAACTGATTGCGGACCATAACGAGTGACCGGACCGTACACAATAATTCGTCGCTTTCTTTTTCTTTTGAACTCGTCGGTATAATATCACTGGATAGAGAAATTATTGAGAAGTAATAAATTTATTACTCGTTTTGCCTGTTTTGTTTTACTTAAATATAGTTAAAACTGAGAAAATATTGCAATCAATTTATTGGGACAAGAAATTCTCGACGTGCGTGGCACGTCATTCCAGCGCAAGAGATTAAGCTGCTTTTTTACTGAAGCAACAACTTGCTCACGTTACACGTTTTTCTTAAAAAAAAAAAAAAGTTGTTGCCCGATATTTTCACATATTTGTTCCAGTAACGATTTTATCAGTAACAAAAGTTGTCGATCGTTACCTATTCGTATCCGTAGTGATAAAATGTTTCTCGTTGCACTTCTGACATGTACGCACAATGTGCATTTAAGTGTGGACAACGAGTTGTTCGCTCTAAACTCGAAATGAGAGCCGCCGGAATGTCCGATTGCGTTGCTTCACAGCGTGGACAAAATATTTCTGAAAGTTGACATTTGTTGGCAACTGTTTGGAAAACAAAAAGTGTTTTCGTTGTTGTTTCGGGAGAGAACGTTCTATGTTTTTGTACAGAGAACAGTCCGATACTTTTTCAAATTCCGACATTCTGTTTCATTTCGTTCGATCATCACTGATTATTACTGACTGATTGTTCCTGTTTTCACGGGACGACCGACGAAATTTCCACGTCTGTTTCCGCGAAACTTTGCTCGTTTATCCGACAGAAAA